TAAATGTTGGGAGAAATGCATACAATAATGTATAAATAAATAAATAAATAATTAAGTAAATGCATCAATAAATATATAAATAAATATATATATATATATATAAATAAATGCAACATAACTAATGTTATGTCAGTGTGTTCAGAGGCCAACCCTGATCATACCTGTGAAATTTGAAGCAGATCAGAAAAAGTATCTGAGATGCAGTACGTGCAGTATGTTAATGGCATAATTGTATTAGGTTAGATGTGATCATGCCAGTACTGACATTGTTCATGTGAAATTTTGAGTAAATCTGACATTGTATATGGTATGTAGTACTTGCAGTGGGGGGGGGGCTATGGTTACAATTTATTATTGCTATGTGACTGTGTTCAGAGGCCAACCCTGATCATACCTATGTAATTTCAAGAAGATCAGACAAAGTATATAGGAGTTACAGCCACTTCCTGTTTGATGGCGATGTGATTTGTGGACTTCCTGTTGAGTTTTGGGCGTGGGTTGACACCCAAAACTCAATGTTGGAAATGCATAGTAAAATTCAGAATTGTAGGTTCAACGTGCTGCGGGAGCTGAATGTTTGAAATATTGTAGGGGGCGCCACTGAGCCATTAAGCCACGCCCACTCACTTAAACAGTATCAAATGTTTGACTTTACTACCAGGATTATATGTATGAAATTTCGGGACAGTACGACTATGTTAAGCCTGTGAAAAAACTACTTCCTGTTTGATGGCGAGCGATGCGTCCGTATGGCGACAGCGTTGGACGTAGGCGTTTGACCTTGAAAGTGTTGTATGGCCAAGGTGTTAGCATGGTCCACACCAATTTTAAGGGGAAAATTAGCTACCCTGTAGCAATAGCTAATGCTAATTGAGAAGCAGTAACTTCCTGTTGTCAACAGGTGGCGCTGTGACTCGTATCATGGATGTGTTCAGGGCGTGTCCCATATCATGGATGTGTTCAGGGTCCCGTATCATGGATGTGTTCAGGGTCCCGTATCATGGATGTGTTCAGGGCGTGTCCCGTATCATGGATGTGTTCAGGGTCCCGTATCACGGACGTGTTCAGGGTCCTGTATCATGGATGTGTTCAGGGTCCTGTATCATGGATGTGTTCAGGGTCCCGTATCATGGACGTGTTCAGGGTCCCGTATCATGGACGTGTTCAGGGCGTGTCCCATATCATGGATGTGTTCAGGGTCTCGTATCATGGACGTGTTCAGGGCGGGTCCCGTATCATGGATGTGTTCAGGGTCTCGTATCATGGACGTGTTCAGGGCGGGTCCCGTATCATGGATGTGTTCAGGGTCCTGTATCATGGACGTGTTCAGGGCGGGTCCCGTATCATGGACGTGTTCAGGGTCCCGTATCATGGATGTGTTCAGGGTCCCGTATCATGGACGTGTTCAGGGCGTGTCCCGTATCATGGATGTGTTCAGGGTCTCGTATCATGGACGTGTTCAGGGCGGGTCCCGTATCATGGATGTGTTCAGGGTCTCGTATCATGGACGTGTTCAGGGCGGGTCCTGTATCATGGACGTGTTCAGGGTCCCGTATCATGGACGTGTTCAGGGTCCCGTATCATGGATGTGTTCAGGGTCTCGTATCATGGACGTGTTCAGGGCGGGTCCCGTATCATGGATGTGTTCAGGGTCCTGTATCATGGACGTGTTCAGGGCGGGTCCCGTATCATGGACGTGTTCAGGGTCCTGTATCATGGATGTGTTCAGGGCGTGTCCCGTATCATGGATGTGTTCAGGGCGTGTCCCGTATCATGGATGTGTTCAGGGTCCCGTATCATGGATGTGTTCAGGGTCCCGTATCATGGATGTGTTCAGGGTCCCGTATCATGGATGTGTTCAGGGCGTGTCCCGTATCATGGATGTGTTCAGGGTCCCGTATCATGGATGTGTTCAGGGTCCCGTATCATGGATGTGTTCAGGGCGTGTCCCGTATCATGGATGTGTTCAGGGTCCCGTATCATGGATGTGTTCAGGGTCCCGTATCATGGACGTGTTCAGGGTCCCATATCATGGATGTGTTCAGGGCGTGTCCCGTATCATGGATGTGTTCAGGGCGTGTCCCGTATCATGGATGTGTTCAGGGTCCCGTATCATGGATGTGTTCAGGGTCCCATATCATGGATGTGTTCAGGGCGTGTCCCGTATCATGGATGTGTTCAGGGCGGGTCCCGTATCATGGACGTGTTCAGAGCGGGTCCCGTATCATGGATGTGTTCAGGGCGTGTCCCGTATCATGGATGTGTTCAGGGCGTGTCCCGTATCATGGATGTGTTCAGGGTCCCGTATCATGGATGTGTTCAGGGTCCCGTATCATGGATGTGTTCAGGGTCCCGTATCATGGACGTGTTCAGGGCGTGTCCCGCATCATGGATGAGAAATGTTAATATGATTGAACACTAGATGGCAGAGAGATAAGCATTTACTTTTTTGGCAAATTGCCAAAAAGCTCAAAAACCTTTGCACACACGCCACGCCCTTTGACGGAATAACGTGCGGAGCACAACGAGATACACACACACACACACACCACGCAAACACACAGAGAAAGTGAAAAAAGCATTAATCATCTATAATCTTACTGTTGTGTGTGTGTGTGTGTGTGTGTGTGTGTGTTTCTGTGTGTGTGTGAGTGTGTGTGTGTGTGTGTGTGTGTGTTTCTGTGTGTGTGTGTTTCTGTGTGTGTGTGTGTGTGTGTGTGTGTGTGTGTGTATGCAGAGTGTGTGCGTTGTTTTGCACGCTTCGATCTGATCCTAGGTCAGTGTGATGAAGACATCGGTGAAGTGGATGGAGACGACTGCTGTCAGAACCCTCATTATGGTTACCAGGCAACGGATGGGGTGTGCCGCTCCTGTGGGTCAGTGCACACACTCGACTTTTCACTAAACTCTTTAAAAGTGAACTTCGACGGTGACCTTTTTAACCTTGAGGACAAACTTTTAGAAGGCCTTTACACTTTCACTTCACTTCACCGACCTTGAATGTTCATCACTGTAACCTGCTGCATGAACACATCACGCCTTACCCTGACTTTACACACTTTAAATAATCAGACCACATGGCCCCATCTAGCTTAAGGGTTGTCTGAGGGCACACTCACACTAGACTCACACTAGAAGACTGAAGAAGAGAAAGGAGTCTTTCCCTCAAAAAATAGACAAACTAAAGACGTTAGTGATCCAAGAGGGATTTTGTGCTGATCAGAAGAAGGCATTTCAGGATTTCTGGGCAATAAGACAACACGTGGTCGACCCGAAACTGCTGCAGAGATAACATATCCGATGTGGCCTCATTATACCCCAGGTGGAGCCAGAAAACATTGTGGGAGAGAGGAACTTGTGGAATAACTTGTTAAGACTACTACTACAGTACCTGGGGCTGTCGTAGTAGAAGGCACCAGTTTGTTTCTGAATTCTGGCTTTTGTTGGCAACTGCCAAAAATTGTTGGCTATAGTGGAAAACCAGGCCTGAAATCACACAGTGTGAACTGCAGTGAGAACCTTCAGCTATAGATTTGTTTTTGTTTCCATTGTTTAATATTCAACTTTAATTTGAAATCATTAATATAGTTTCTATTCAATTTATTTCCCTGTTATGTTTCATCATTTTTAAAATGCTGCATGTAGATCATGTTTTTTTAATCAGGAACTAAGAAAGACTTAGTTTAAGTTCACATGAATAACATGGATTTTACTTCCTCCAGGCATCCTCCCTCATGCCACTGTCACTAGACTGTCACCCGTTCAGGAGGGTAAGACAAACCTTCTGCCAGTTGTTGTTCACAATGGTTTTGTTCAGTTAGTTAAACTCCACAGGCCTCACTTTCATCCATCACTAAACAGTGAGTGGTTCATCTTCCAGAGAGAGGAGGTAGAAGCAGTGTAGTTTATTTTTTCTCTGTGCTCTACCGAGTTGAGATTAAACACTTATAATGGCAAAAAAAAGAGATTGATGACTTAGGGCAATGCAACTCCATAAACCACTGCAAACACAAAAAAAGAGAACATTTTACATTTTCAAATGAAGACAGTCAAATCTGTCAGCAATTACCCTGTTTTGATTTCTGTTTATCTGCTTTCAATTGTAGTGACATCACTGACTGTTAGGTCGAGTGCAGAGAAAAGTGCCACGTACAAGTCAAGTGCAGCGCGCGTGATGTTGTATTTAGGCATTTGAAATATGTTTCATGTTCCCATTAACAATTCTTGATGACGATTTCAGGAATGCACCACAAGAAGCAGACCTGCAACCTAATTTAACAACAACAGTTATTCACAGTCTTAACTCTTCAGATTACATGTTTGATTTCCCTCACAGCGCCACCCGCAGGACAAACTACATCTTCTATTTGTTATTTAGTGTCCAGTGCTGTCCAAAACCATTGAGTAGAGACAGTTAGATTACTATCTTGCTCTCTCTTTTTGTATCAGATATTTTACATTCTAGAAGTAACAGAAAAGCTGTGGCTGAAAGTTTGGTGATGTGACAAAAGTGTTTGGTTTTTGTCAAGACTCTTACTGGCTTCATCTCTGCAGCTGAGGCAGGTAAACAAAACATAACAACAATCCAGGCATGAGGAAATAAAAACATTGATCATTTTCTCAGTAGTGCTAAAAGATGAAATTCACTTGATGTTTGCTTGATTGCTTAGTTAGTAAAAATATGATTGTACCAGTTTCTTTGTGCCACACAAAACATCACTTAATATCTGAAGATTTTTCAGGACACCTGTACACCATAACACTCGTGTTGTTCTCATATTGTTTCTAATACTGACTGAACTCACCATAAACAAACTGTGAGAACACCAAAAAACAAATAATATGCAAAGCCTTTACAGTTAAGACATTACAGCAACATTCAGGGACAGATTGCAGCCTGCACTGACTGATACTGGGAAACTACTCCTCACCATGGCTGGAGAAAGTGAAAGCATTCTCTGCAGCTTCCTGCTTCCACGAAGTCACATGTTTTACAGAAACTGAGTTGCAGTACAGCCCAAGAACCTATGCAGCACTCAGACAAAAGATCATTCACAGAGCCTGAACTTACTTTCAGTGTGGACATTATTTAAACACAGCTGATCGTGGGTTTGGCCTCAGAATCTGTCTGAACTTCACTCCAGCAACAGGTAAGAAACTCGTTCCTTTTTCAATCTTGCTTCAAATTGCTTCTCATGCTGATCATCTTTCTAAGGGCATATATGGGACTTCCAGTTTTGCGGAGGATGGAGTAGGCGCGGTTTTCTAGCTCCCACTTTTAAACTTTAATTTCTTACCATAAACCCTATTTCTCGTACTGAAACATCTTGTATCCGAGATATAATTTAAAGCAACGGAAAATACGGCACAAATATGTCTAAGTCTGGGAAACAAACAAGTAAAGGCCCAGCTGCAGAGAGCTCCGTGACAGGTTGAAGACATCAGTTAAGCAATTAAAGGAAAAGAACTTGAAAATAATATTTTGAAAGAAATTCCGAAATTAATAAACCACAGGGTCTCCTGGAGACATTGAAAACTGGCATTTGAACGTGACGTCACATGGGTGAGTCCCGCTGACTCTGCCTCTGTTTAACATTAATAAACATGGAACTGACTGTCACTCCTGAAGATGAATGTAAACAGAGAGTTGGATTTATAATAAATCATATGACTACAAGTATTAATACATAGCCTACTGTCCAGTGTATATTACGCGCACGTTAGAGAATGTCTCCGGCGTGTCTGGAGATCGTAATCATTAATGAGGAAACGCTTTTGTGCCTCATGCTGAAATAATCAACGTGTCTGTTCGATCGTTTCAGAGGTTGTAGGAATAATTCAGCGAAATATAACTAAAATCCACCATCAACATATTTCATACAGTATCCTGAGTGTTCTGTATTCAGTGACACAAAGCAGAGAAGTTAAATGAGCCGGACAGAGTTCAGGCTATCGCAGAATAACAACTGAAATCTGCCGTGTAAATACCAACACACTAGCCCGCTAAAGCGTCTGACTCTTAAAGGGAATGAGAGCTGACACTCTGATTTGTTAAATGCACACTCAAAACACACTATGTATCCTATAATAAAGCCACATAATCTATCCGCTCCGCGCTATGCGCCCAGATTGTGCGCTGCGTAAATTTCAAAATATAGTCGGACATGCCCAAAATCGCCGTGCGCCACGCGCTTTTGAACAACGCGCTTTTAAAAGACAGAGAGGGAGAGGGATAGCAGTTTCCTGTAACTTATGTGTGATAGGTGCTTGTGCGGGAAATGGCAGCCCATGTCTTCAGCTGGGGAGAGTCTGTGCTGCAGAGAGGCGGATGCCTTCTGGGCGTTGGTGGAGAACCTTACCCCCCAGACCAGACATAACATGCCTGACACAGCATTCAGGTTCTGAGGCTTGCTGTCTGAATCCCTTTGTCCTGCAGATAGCATACATGACCTTCAGGCAGGAGCATGGTCCCCTTCAGGCCAGTAGACTTGAGAATGTGTGGGGCAGAAACAATCTGCAATTCTGCTGACTTTTATTATTTTATTATTGTAAATGAGCTTTCATGGCTCAAAGCATGTAGATACAAGTTGAAGACATTACTATAACTCAGACTGATTTTCCAATACTTTAATTAAACAAAGAATTCCCATATCTATTACCTTTGTTAATACATTTTCGATTGTGTAAATAATAGGACTATCAAATTTAATAGTAAATATTCTGTCCCTATCCCCAGGCAATACCGTTACACAGGTTAACGGCAGGTGATCCGCTGGGCCTATGGCATTCTGGGAAGGCACTTTACCTTCCTGTGTTGTGTCTACCATCAGGAGACAGTGTCCAGAAGAGGGGGGGATTTATAAAATCATCATTTGGAGGACAATTAGAAAAATAAATAAACACAATCACAAAGTGTCTTACCAGTTGAAATCTTTTTTTAAAGCTGTCGTGACCCGACTCAGGAAGTCACAACAAAAATGGGAGACAACACCAAGTTAACGTTTAAATAATTCTTTATTAAACCAGACTAGACCAAATGAAATATTTACAATATGATGTGTGGAAGTCAGTAGTGTGTGATGTGCTTGAGTGGAGTAAGTCTGTGTGAAATGCAAACATAGCAAAAGGTAACTTAGTCTAACATTCTCAAACAAAATGGAGTATACCTGTGGAGAAGGTCAGAGAAGAGAGAGAGAGAGAGAAGAGAGAGAGAGAGTGTGAGACTGCAGGAGCTGAAAAGTGGATGGCCCCACTCAGTTGTAGGTTGTATGCAGGCATGTTTCGGTGCAGCATTGGCTGGTTCTGCCAAAGCCACTCCTACCCACAGAACGCACACACCTGGGAGATAAACATGAAAAGCAGAACACAACTTTAAACAAAACTTGAGTTCACACGGTGAGTTGATTAAAAGAAATGAAATGATCCTAATTCTATCAAAAACAGAGAAATTGGCATGATGTTGTTCAAAAGACAGCAGGCATATTTGGAGGCATATTTATGAGACAGCATAAAATCCAATGTTCTCCAATGAAACAGCTTTGCCAAAACAAAGTCTACATTTACAGGACTCAGTATTAAACGTTTTGACGTTTCGTCTGAGATGTGTAAAATCAAATATATCTGTGTGTTTGTAATAAATTACGGTGTGTTACAAACCTCACACTGAAAGTTCAGAAGTGGCTGATGATCAGTTTATAGATTTTTAATAAACAGAGCAGGGAGGGTGACGCGCAGATGAGCAGACAGAAGTGTAGGAGCCATAAATGTAAGTTGATTGTGTATTTGATGTCATGGGTTGTTTACTGATTTGTTTATTGTTTACGGTCTTGCTTGTTACTGATGGTGGGTGTGTTCACCAGAAATCTCGTGGTGATGGCAGTGATTATATGGGCCGCACTCACCTGTTCACCTGGTTTTTGGCTTGGATGGAGAGAGGGGGTGAGCGTGGGAAGAGACAATTTCTGTTGACCGCCACACTATACTGCACTGCGATCGCAAATTTATTTGATGATCCAAAAACAGCGTTTGTAGTATCTTGTTTTGTTTTGTAAGAATAAATGACTAAAGTATCTTGGATCTGGAAGTCATTTATAACGACAGCGCGTCACAGCTTCACTCCCGTGTTTAGTCAATCGCGGCAAACTTTTTTGACGACCTGCAAAAGGCCGATATAGCCGCAATAAGGATAAGCACTCTGTGCACATAGGAGCGGTTTGGACAGCATCAGTGTGTTAACAGACACTGCAGTCTGCCATGCCATGTAGTAAACATACTTTACTGGTAAACCAGTAAACCGTAGAGAAGATTGTCAATTTAACCTTTAGGTTTTTGTCCGTGCGCAATTTTAACCTAATAAAAGTACAGTGGAAATAACTGATGTTAACTCGAGGTAGGAAACACTGACGTTACTATCATCCATCCATAACAAGCTATCTTAAATACAACAGAGAAATAATTGATCCGTGCAGCACCTTACCTCTGTGTCTTTTTCACATTTTTCCTCCTCTTCGTCTTTTTCGTCCCTGGGCTCCGGAGGGCTTTGTTGTTGTTTTTTACATCACGGTCATTTATAAACATGATATTAATCCGTACGGTCAGTGTCACTCACTTCTAACCTGCCCTCCTCCTCCACAACGAGCAGGTAACGAGCAGCTGTGTTGTGATGAGCTGCGTCAAGCAGGAGGCAAGAAAATAGAGCCTTTTTAAATGTGATAGTTGTGTTTTCATGGCTTCAACCATAAGGTAAAGTTCTGTATGTCAGGCAGCTCTCATTTCAGAAAATGTATTTTGTCATGCTTTATTTGCCAGGCTACTCACCAATTTCAGTTTAACCCAGTCAGCATTCAGTCCCATGTGCTCTCAATCTCACTCTGCATTATGAGATTAACAAATCAGTCCTGTGCAATTGTAATGTTTGAAAAATAAATACTGTAATTAAACATGTATACAGAGTACCAGGAAGCACATTATAGAAAATTAAATAAATGATCTGCCATTTTACTATTTATTGGTGCACTGGTAAACATTTCAGCTGAGAGAATCCATTTGATCTCTGTTTGGCTTCATCGTGAATTTATTCAGGCTTAGCCTATTTCTGCAATGCTCATTGTTCCTATTCATTCTATGTATCTTAATCATAACAACCACCTTATTCTTCTTTAAGTACTGTCTGGTCTGGGGAATTGCTTACATTCATCTGCAAGTGTTCGCTGGCCTATTATTTTAACCTAGCATCTTTTTCATCTACTCTTATATATTTTTGTTGTACTTATTCTCTTTAATTTTATATTTTCTTGTTTCTCTGTCTTTTGCAGTACATCTCTTCTAAAGTCGGGGTTACTCTGCTCATAAGGATGCTGGCTACACATCTCACCCCAAGCAACCGGGGCATAGCTGGTTCTGAATCAATTCTGGCAACGCAAGCAATCGGGGTATAGCTGTTTCTAAATATATGCTAACAACGCATCTCCACGCAAGCAAACGGGGTATAGCGTTTCTTAAATCTAGGCTAGCAACGCATCTCCACGCAACCATTCGGGATACAGCGTATATAAACCAAGGTTGGTTACACCACTGCTGGGTGTAGGTTATGGAATCTGTGGTTATGCTTCTTGAATTGATTTTCTGATCCTGGAGTCATTTATCAGCGTGTGTTTCATTTACTGTTGCTGTTGTTGCTAACTCTCTTGTTTGTTTCATTTTAGCAGATAAATACAATTTATTCATTTATCTCGGCCGATTCAAACCTGCTCGGTGAGTATCAAACTATCATCTGCTCGCACCCCATCTTTTTTGGGGGATTTATTCTGCCGACACTCAGAATTGTCCTTCTCAATACCAGCAGGGCATAGCTGTTTCTAAATCAATGCTGGCTTCGTATCTCATCACACATAAGCGGGACATAGCTGCCCAGAGCAACTGCTGGGAGTAGTCCTATGGAATCTGTGTTTATGCGTATTTTGGTTCATATGTGTGTCGTCTGCTTTTCATGTATTCATTTGTCAGCAAAGCATTTGGCGTATCCTCATTATTGTTGCCTAACTCAGAATTATTTTTATTTTTATTTTTTTCAGATTTAATTCATCACAGGGTTCACTCTGACTTGATCATTTCCGGGAATACCTCACACAACCAGTCCCTGCAGACCATT